TGTCGAGGACACACGGACCCTTCCTCCTCCAGGCCCCTTGGAAAGGCGTCTCACATCCCATGTGCTGCACTGGAGGGGCCAGCTGGCTGTAACTGGCTGGAGCCCAGTTTCCCTGAGAAAGGGGGTGGGTTTGGGTGGGTTTGGTGAGGAGAGCAGATGCCATGTTGAACTCTTGAGTGGCCCCCTGTGGCAGGGCTCAGGGCACAGGCCAGGCTCCCCAGCCCCAAAGGCCGAGAGAGTGGAGCCAGCCAGAGTGCTGGGCTGGGCCTCAGTGTGCCCATCTGCACAGTCGGAGCCCTGGTCACACAAGTTTGGAGGGCTTGGCCTCTGAGGATGAGCTGGAGATGAGGAAACCAGTCACCAGCCCCACAGAACACAGAGCAACACCACTGACATCTTGAGAAACATTTTATTGGCAACAGCTCCCCGCTTCATCTCCAGGGTCTACAGCAGAGCGACCAGACCTGTGAGCAGACCTGACACCGAGCTCCCCGGGGCTGCCCTGCAGCGCCTCTCTGAGCTGCCTGGCGCAGGGGCTGAGCGGGCCAGGCGCCAGATAGCTGTGCCCGGGTTCCGTCTGGTGGGGAGACCAGGTGGCTGCCTCTGAGAGACCAGGCGTGAAGAGCACACTAGAGAGCATGGAGATCTAAGTGGGGGTGGGGGACGGGGGGCCAAGAGGACACAGGGGTGCTCTGAAGACGTGGGGCGGCAGGGGGAGGGGAAAGGGAAGCCGGGATGAAAAGTGACCAAATGCACAAATGACTCCCTGCAACCACATCCTCATCCCAGAGGCCCACTTCTCCCTGGCACGTGTGACCCTCAGGCCAACCCCGGGCCGACAGCAGATGGGCCCCATGACCTTCTTGTGGTCAGTTGCTGGGCAGGGAGGCCCCGGATGCCCTGGGGGATGGCCTGGTGGGGCCCAGACTCCAACACTCCCCTCTGCCCTCTCCAGCTCCAAGGACCTCCAGAAACTGCTGGCAGGTCGGCCCCTGGCTCGTGGGAACCAGCTATGTGAGCAGGCCCCGCGTGAGCCTCAGCACGGCTTCATAGGTGACGAAGACCACCATGTTGACAGGGAAGGCGCGGCAGCAGTTGAGCGACAGCCCCTTGAAGAGCACCCGCGGCCCCTCCTCCCGAACGCTGCTCACCACGCAGTGCAGGAGGCCCCGGTAGCGCTGCTGGCCCTGCCCATCTGCCTGCAGGCGCGACTTGATCACGTCCATGGGGGTGGCCACCGCCCAGGCCAGCACCCCTGCACAGCCACCAGCCACCAGCACGCCCAAGACATCTGCCAGGAGAGCCCCACGCGGGCCTTGGTTGGAAGCCAGACTGGGGCCCCCGAGGAGGGCAGATGGGCACCCAGGTCAGGGCCCAGCCAGGAGGGAGCCCTGGGCTCTCGCCGTGAACATGACCCATCCAGCGCCACCCAGAACAGGTCTGTCCTTTCGTGTTGAAGGCATCGAGGTTCCCACCCAGGAGGCACCGGGTATCAGTGCAGCCTCATCCACGTCTCCCCTCCCGGCCTCCACTCCCCTGGGGCTGAGCCCCATCTCACCTGGCTGGTTGCGGCCAGCAGGAGTGAGCCACCCACAGAGGATGGCATAGGAGAGGAAGTAGGTGGCGAAAGAGTGGCCATCCCGGAAGAGCAGGGCTGAGCTGCCCTTGTAGAGGCCCCGCAGGCCCTCCTCCCGGGCCACCGTGGCCAGGCAGTGCAGCGGCCCGCGGTACTTGGGCTCCGGTGCCAGACTGGCAGGGGGCGCAGGACACATGGTGGGTGCAGCCAAGGGCCCCGAGGCTGAGGGGCGCCGCTGCTGCGTCTGTGTCTGCAGGCGGATCTTGGCCACCTCGGTGGGCGAGGTCAGGAACACCTGGAGCAGAGCAGGGGCAGGGATGAGGCGGCAGCTCTGCCCACGCTCCCTGTACCTGGCCTCCCCCATCAGCCTTGTGCTGCCCACAATGACATCTGGGGACCCTGGGCCCCACAGAGCTCCAGGCTGGCCCACTGGCCACGGTGGAGCAGGGTTCAGAGCCGGCCCTGCCCGTGCAAGCTGGAGCCAGTGCTCTCTCCAGTGACACCCTCTCTGCTGGCAAAGTGGCTCCACACACAGGAGCTGCCAGGTAACCATCTATGACTTCAGGTCCCGAAAGTATTTAATCATATAATTAATATGTTAATGACATATTAATGTATTATTTAATTAATGTAAGAATAGTATAACACTTAATGTAAGCATTTGATAACTTTTTCGAAATATAATTGATTCACAATATTGTGTTAGTTTCCAGCATACAGCAAAGTGATTCAGTTATACATATAAAGCATTTGATCACATTAGTATATGACAGATTATAATTTACTAATACTATTGGCTGCCATCTTGTGGGTGCTCATACCTATCAGACCCTATGCTGGGAGCTCCACACTCATAACCTCACCACACTTGTCACAGAGGAAGAGACAGAAGCTCAGAGAGGCTCCCTAGCACACTCAAGTGCTCTCAGTTAACAAGTCAGCCGAGTCTGCACCCTCAGTCCCCAGCCTCCATCCAGCTTCTGCCCTGAGCAAGCCTCAGTTTCCCCTCCTGCAGGGCTCAGTGCCCTCTCAGGCCCTCATGACCTCTCCCCACGCCTGCAGTCCCTGGACCCCATCACCCCACCCCACTCACACGGACGAGTCCAGAGGCGAACCCCGAGAGTGTGACGTCAGTCTTGGCGGGTTTGGCGTCGGCGCTGCCGTACCGGAGCTGGCAGATGTGTGCGAGGCAGTGGCGGTAGGTGCCGAAAGACACAGATGAGACCAGGGACACCGTGCACACGGGCAGCGAGAGGCCCCTGTAGAAGCCCCACACCTGGCAGCAGGTGGAGAGGACCAAGGGCCCGAGTCAGGCCCAGCCAGGAGGAGTGGCTGCCCAAAGAGCCCCTGAACCTCACCCTGCCCCGCCCGCCCTCACTGCAAAACCTCCGGCAAGTCACTTGCCAGCAAGGGCCTGCGTTTCCTTGGCTGTAAGATGGGGATTGTCCCACTCAACTTAGGTTGTGCAAAGGGAATGAGGAGACGGGGCCAGGCCCGACCTAGGGCAGCTAGGGGATGGCAGTGATGTTAAACCAGGAGCTTCGTGGTTGCTCTTTCTCTTTTACTCACCCACAGCCGGCACTGATTCGCAAGTTCACTTTGTTAAGTGTCCCTGAGACCATCCTCCAGACCTGAGCTGGACCTGGGGACCCCTGACAACTCTACCCAGTACGCTTTCAAAGGGTGCCCAGACTACAGAAATGCAGACAGGTCCCTCCCCTGATCGTCAGAGGCCCCAGATGCCCCCTCTAGACCCTCTCCTGGAGGCAGGGCCTCATTCTTAGCGCCTCTCGTGTGCCAGACATCCCGGCTGTAGTTCTCAGAGGAGTCCAGGAGCTTAGTGCAATTATCCTCATTTGGAAGGTGAGAGAACTGAGGCCCAGAAAGGGGCTCAGCATTGCCAGGCCAGGTGGTGAGTGGCAGCCCTGGGGTCTGAGGCCCCAGCACCCCCTGCCCATTACCCTGGCCCCAGGCCTACCCGCTCTTGGCGATATGTGTCCCGGATGCAGTGCCAGATGCCTGTGTACTTGGGCTCCGTCTGGATCCTGACCTGCGGGAGAAGCAGGCTTCAGGAAAGGGTGGCTCCAGGCCTGGGGCAAGGTCAGCAGGCCCTGGGGTAGGGAAAGAGCCAACCTCTTGATTGTTGAAGGCATGCTGACTGTGGGAAGAGCAGGGATAGGGAGCCTCATTTAAGGCGAGAAATCTGGGAGGCACAGGGGTGAGAAAGGGGGACTGACAATCCTGAGGACCATGGTGGGGCCTGGGTCTGAGCAGCAGGCTAGGAAGGTCTTCTGCTCATTGGTGGGAGTCCTAAATCCAGGCAGGGGCCTCAGGATGGGTGGCAGGGGCCTGGTTATGACTGTACCTTCACCGTGTCCAGGGGGTAGCCCACAGCAACACCGCAGACGCCTGGAAGGAAACCCGAGAAACCAGTGAGGAGGGCAGGAGCCTGAGCCCATCTCAGGGAAGGAGGGGCAACCCTGACTGCACTCCCGCTGAGAGAGACCCACACCCGGCTCTTCTCCACACTGTGTCTCATCAGTGAGGGGAGTGACCCCCATTGTACAGATGAGGAAACAGGCTCAGAGAGGTAAAGTGACTTCTGCCAAGCTGCTAGTGGCTTCTCCTCCTTGGCCTCCCCTCCGGTGTCATATTTGGGAGAATTGGCAGGGCACCTGCTGGGCCCTGACTCCAAGCCAGGCCAAGCTCGCCCTCAAGCATCATTCTGTGAAGGGTTTGTCCGTGAGCTGGAAGGCAACTGCGCCTTGCAGCTCTGGGGGGTGGCGGAGGGGGAGGCACAGCTCAAGCAGAGACTGGGAGGTAGGAAAGTCCAGGGTACCCTAGGGCTCTCCATGAAGGACTGCACAAGTTTGCATGGGACAGAGTAGGACCCAAGGCTTCCTGGACCACGGCCCTCTGCCTTCTGCACAGAGGGCCACGTGCCACCATCCTGTTCCTTTCTTCTCTCCTAACACCAGGGTCTCAATGGCCAAGCCCCCAGCACAGCCATGGAGAAGCCAAAGAGCAAGCAGTTAGGTCCCTGGGACTTCATCCCTGAGGATGAAGAGGTGGGTGAGGGCCATCTAAGGACAATAAGGGATGTGAAACCTGTGCCCTATTTACTATGTATCCCAGGACTCAATAAATACGCATGAATGAAAGAACAAAGTGAATGAATGAATGAGTGAATTAAGAAAGTGAAGCAAAAGACTGACTGACTGACTGACTGACTGACTGACTGATTATCTTGGGTAGAATTACCCTCCTTGACCCTTACATATACCTCACCGAACTCCTACTCATCCGTCAAAAGCCTGCCACAGCATCACCTCCTTTCTGAAGCCCTCCCTAATCCCCATCCTCTTGGCTGCCTCTGTGCCAGAAAACATGCTGGTCACAACCCATGTCACCTGGCTTTGCTGCTATCCCACAGCCTGCCATCTCTTCCTCCAAAACTAGAATTCCTCAAGGAAAAGGACCAGGTCTGAACACCATGAGCTGGAGCCAGGCACAGAGCAGGAAACCTTCCCACCCAGGCCCTCCCTAGGCTCTGGAGGAAAGATACAAAACTCTGGAGCCCTTCCTGCTGTGTGTCCTTGGGCAAGTCAAACCCCTTCTCTGAGCCTCTTCCTTAGGAGACTAATATCCAGGGAAGCTGCTGAGCCCACAGAAGGACCTCAGAAAGCCCAGTGGTGAGGCCAGGGCCCTAGTCTTTCCTGGCTCCACACTGCCCTCCCCTTCTGAAGAGTACACCCCACGTGGTTCCCAGAAGTATTGACCACAAGCCACTGCTATTTCACAAGAGGAGCAAGGCCAACGGGGCCTCACCCGAAATAGTCCCCCGGGCCTGTGTGATCAATGCTGGGAGGAGCCATGCTGGGAGGGCTGGTTATCTCCAGATGGGGCTGGGCTTTCAGAACAGCCCTTCCCCACAAGTGAAAACAGTCTGGGGGCCCAGCGAGGTGGGGATTGGGTGCGCGCCGCCAGCGGAGGGAGGGTAGGGCCGGGCTTGACCGGGCCCTCCCCCTCCGCACCCACCCCTCCCACTCAGTGTGGCAGGACCCAGGCCCAGTCTGTCCTCACTATCCACCCTCTCCTGGAGCCTCTGGTTCCTCCGCCCCGAGCCATCATTCTCCATGCTTATGACATCCAGCAGCCCTCTGGCCAGGCAAAGACCACCCACTGCCCCCACCCAGTAGCCCCCACCCCTTGCTGCCTCTCAGCCTGCCCGGCTGAGCTGCCCCCCAAGCCAGCGCAGACTCACCCCACCTCCTCCTCCTCCTGGGCCCTGTGTCCAGGGAAACTGTGCTCTCCTCCCAGTACCTGGCACATGTGGCCCATGCCAGGTGCCAGCCACTTGCAGGGGAGCTTCGAATC